AATTTTCCTTAAATTTTAAATTTAATTAACATTGTAAAATGATAATTATTTAATTATATATGTTATAACTAATTGATATTATTTAATTATTTAATTAATTACATAGATGACCAAGTTTGATTGTATATAGAAGGATTTTACTAGATAATCATAAGAAAACAAGAGAAATTGGAAAAAAAAATTGAAGAACATAAGTACGGCAATGATATTACGGCTCTTGAATGGATCGTAATTTTTGAATAGCAGCATCCCAATACTTTTTTTCAAATGTAAGATGCCTACCATTACCAAAAATCTTTGTAATTGTTTCTAAGGGCTCAACAGGGGTTTTGGGTGGATTTGACAGAAATGGTGATTGATAACGATTCGAGGAAAATTTTGCAATATGACCCTCACGGTTACACAGTTGACAAGTTACAGCATATCGGTGCGGACAAACTGTAACAAAATGTTCAGGAGTATCACATATTTGACAAACAGAGTAGTCTACAATACTAGGCAATGGAATGTGTTGGTCGGTTGATACATTATTCTTTGCTTTTCTCAACTTCATCTTGGGAGAACTCTGAGATGGGCAATTCCATAATGATTCAGGATTATCCTTAATGATTCCTGATTATCCTTAATGATTCCTGATTATCCTTAATGATTCCTGTGTAAAATAATATAAAGTTAAGTAATATGATAGTAAATAGGGTGCACGAACGGGAAATGAAAAATAAGGGAAGGAAAAAAAAAAGTTATACCATCATATTGGTTGTCAAAATATTCTTGGTTTTCCAATTGGTTGTTAAAATAATCTTGACTTTTCAATTGGCTATCAAAATATTGTTGACTCTCCATTAAGCAATAGAAAAAAGAGTTTTGAAATTTATAAAAGTTATTACTTTTAAATTATGATATAAAAATAATTACATGGGAATGAAAAAAAATGAATTGCAAAAGTAAGGGAGAAATAGCAAGAAATTAAGAAGTGTGTGCATAATGGTTGGGGAAGGTGTATATATAATGGCTTTGGCCAACCATCCGTCAAAGAGGTTAATATCAACAACATATTCCTTGTTGCTGATATTTGGTTGGTAAAAAGATAGGAATAATAGCAACATGGTATATGTTGCTAATATTTAAGGTAGTTGGAAAGGTTTTCAGCAACATAACACTTGTTGCTGATAGTGAATTTCAGCAACAAGAAATATGTTGCTGAAAGTGGAGCTCAATTAAATGGAAAAGGATTCACCGAAAAATATCAACAAGGTGGAGTATGTTGCTGAAAGTTACTTTCAGCAAGAACAAGTATGTTGCTGAAAGTGGAGCAGCTTTTCAAGGGGTGGAGTGTCCTATACAACTTTCAGCAACATAAGGCTTATTGTTGATACATATTTTCAGCAACAAAGAATCCCATGTTGCTGATATATTGTTGCTAAAAATCAAAGTTTTAGTAGTGGTAGTAACACCTTAATCATTTTGGTCCTAATCATAGCCACACTTGTAGTTGCAGTAAAGTTAAATGTCTATTTTGGTCCCTTTATTTTAAGAAAAATTTTTTTTTAATCTCTTTACTTAAAAAAAATGCCTTTTCTGATCCCTAAAGTTTAAAATTTAATTTCTATTAATCTCTTCATTAAGTTTTACATATGTGGTATGTTAAGTTGTGGAAATTTCAAAATAAAAAAACTAAAAATAGGCTAAAAATAACCTCAATTTAGTCCTTTTACTTTTAAAAAAAAAACCTCCTTTTTTGGTCCCTTTATTTTAAAATTTTTATTATTTAACATCAAAACTTAATTGAAGAATTAAAAATAGGTTGAATTTCAAACTTTAGGAACCAAAAATTGACTTTTTAAATAAAAAGACTAAAAAAGAGCTTTTTATCAAAATAAAAAGACTAATTAACATTTTAACCTTGCAGTAATCTAACCTAAAAGCTCTGATCAAATTGTCTTTTAATCATGGAAGATGGAAGTAATCTTCTCATGTTCTTTTTCTCACTCAAACCTTATGATTCAAACCCAAAACCATTTTAAAGAATAGAAATTATTACTAAACTACAAAGGTTGACAGGACTTAAAAAAAAAAAAAGGAGACATTTACTATTTGATGTTATTTGAAGTGAGTAAAAGAAGAACTCTTTAATAAGAAACTTCTTATAGAAAAGAATTGTCTAGAGAAAATAATCAATGAATTAGATGAATTTACAGATGAACAACTCTGCAGTTAGTGAATCAACAAAAGCGTCTCGAGTTTTTGCTTTCTGCAACACAGAATGCATCACATGAAGAAACAAGAGTCCTCTTGAACAATATGCATAATCTTCATTCTTCGGGTTCCTTGGTCATGCCTGTTGTCTTCTGCTCTTCCTGAAGCAACCGTAGACCACTAGACCTGAAATTCTGTCATCTTCAAGGGAACAGAAAGTTAAACAAGGATCAGGAATGTGATTATCTGCCACAATCTCCTTCTTTATCTTCCTCATCGAAGAAGTGAATGAGAATGCTTGAGTAAATTGTTAAAATTTGTTAAGAGGCTGGTTTCCTTGTGCTTTACACAATAGATTCTTCACCCCTTCTGTCATCTGCTTCATTACAATCAAATTCACCTTTTCATGTCAGCAAATAATACTTCAGCTAATAAATTTAACCATCCACATCGAGAGGAACTGAAAACCGCATATTTAAAACCTTTGCCAACCTTCCC